CCCAAATTGAAGATTTCCAGAGCCATGACTATATCCTAATAGTAGCAAACAGTGCTTGAACACCTGCTGAGTTATGGCTGTCTGTAGGTTAGGGATGTTACACAAACCACCAGCTGCTCTAATTAACAAAGATTATGATCAGGTATAGCAGACACTCAGGAGTGAACATAACTGATCATTTAATGGTTAGTTGGCTTTCCTGTTTTCTACTGTCCTCCCCAATCTTCATTACTAATTTTAATCAGTTTTGCTAAAGTACTTGGTTATAAGCAAAATTAATTGTAGATGAAGAAAGCAAAACTCTATTGCTGGACAAGTAAGGATATGGCCTGATGCACATAGGACATTAATATCATCATACAGGAAAGAAAGCATGTTCTCATGGGACATGACTGTCCTGAAATTTTGAAAGTCCTTAGCACAGTAAGAATGTTTCTGAACACAGTAGCTAAAATAAAAAAAATTGCAATAGGTAAAACTCCATGAACAGAGATTTCTTTTTTCCTTCAGATGCATCCAGTGGTTTTAAAATAAATTAAATATAATATTATTCACTCATATATCTGGTTTAGATCTTTCTTTTTTTGAACATTTTATTGTGGCTTGGGTAAAGTTTACACATCAAAAGAGCTAATTATTTTCCCATTTAGCAACTTATACATATTTTATTTTATGACACTAGTTTCAATTCCCTCAATGAAACAGCACTCTTCCTACTTCCTCTCTGGGTTTGTTTCCATCCACTCATCTTTTCTATCCCTTCCTTGCCTTCCGAATTTTGTTTTGGGGCAAATGCTGCCCTTTTGGTCTCATATGGTTGATGGTTCTGAGGCACATGTTCCTCACAGAAGTTAGTGTTCAATGTATATAGGTCTATTCAATGTATAGGCTGAAAGTGATCTTCAGGAGTGGGTTTAATTCTAGGTTTGAAAAGTGTCTAAGGACCATAGTGGGATCCTGGTGTGGTGCTGTGGGATAAAGCACTAGACCACAAGGTTGGTGATTCAAACGCACCAGCCACTCCTTGGAAACCTTATACAGGTTCTCTATGAATCAGAACTGACTGGACGATACTCAACAACAACAAGGGCCACAGTCTTGGGGATTCCATCGTAAGGAAGTCTGGTCTTCCTTATGAATTTGAATTTCATTCTACATTTGTTCCCATTTTGTCCCAAGACCTTCTATTGTAATCCCAATTAGACCAGTTGGTAGTAGTAGCCACCCCATCTAGTTCTTGTCTAGGACTAATTTAAGCTGTGGTTTATGTGGTCCATTAGTTCTTTGGATTGTTTCCTTCAGTTTTTAATTTCTTCACTCTTCTTTGATCCAGAAGGAAAGAGACCAATAATTGTGTCTTAGATATTGCTGTTGTCAAGTACTGTTGAGTCTATTTTGACTTATAGTAACCCTGCATGGAGTTTCTGTGGAGTGGCTGGTAGGTTTGAACCTCTGACCTTTGTGGTTAACAGACCAGCTCATATCCTACAGTCACTGCTCATCAAAGACACAGAACATTGTCTTTATGGATTATGTTACGCTAATTGACCTAGCTTTCCCCTGAGACTATGGTCTTAAACCCTTAAATCCAGTGACTAAGTCCCTCAAGGTGTTTGATTATAGCTAAGAAGTTTGCATAACTTTGCCCCCTATGTTGTTGTTGTTAAGTGCCGTCCAGTCGATCTCGACCCATAGCGACTCTGTATAGGGTTTCCAAGGAGCAGCTGGTGAGCTTGAACCACCGGCCTTGTAGTCCAAACGACTTTGCAGTCTGACACATTAGCCCACACCAGGACTCCTTGTCCCCTGTATGCACTACTATATGCCTGGAAATATTTGCAGCACATACCAATACATATTTTAAAATATCCTCTGACAAATCTATATATGCTCATGGGTGTACTCTCATATACTATCCCACATCTGTTCAATTTACATATATACCTATGTATCAACTAATAAATTATTTGTTATTACTGTTATTGCAGGATTGTGTATGTAACTATTGTTGCCTTTTACTCCTGTATACCTCCTAGGGTCTTCCTTTGCCTTCGTTATGTTATGTTGGCCTCCCTTATATTGTATTACTTTTTACTTCACCCAAGTTGATTCACGTTTACTCTCTAATTAGTGAGTTCTCCCTCCCATTCCTTGTAACCATCAAACATAAAGTTGTGTAATAGTCATCTCATATACTAGTTGCCCTTTTCTGATTGACCTTTTCTTATTTCACTCAGAATGTCATCCAGGTTCATTCATGCTGTGAGATGTTTTGAGTTTAATTCTTAATCTAAGATAGAGTAAGTAGCATGAAATGAAAGAACAAACAAAATAAGAGAGCCAGACATAAGAAATAAAATTAATTTTCTACAACAGACTTTGTGGCAGTGACATCTATACAAACAGGAATAGGACACAGTCCCTTCTCTAGGGCCAAGAGAACAAGGTCACCTTCGATTGCTTATGGGAGCTCTTTGCTAATACAAACAGAGTTGGTAGGCTGTCATCAAACAGCATACACTGCAGAAACACCATGGTAGGAGGTAGCTGATTCAGAAAACCCAGCAGTACAATTTGAACATAGGTCACTAGTACAAGGAAAACCAACCTAAGATGTTCAGTCGCACTAGCACAAATCCCAGAGTCAATGAAAATTAATTTGTTCTTTGCCCATGACTCCCATCTTCCTCTGGTGCCATCCCCTCCTTTCTCATCCCCTCTCTTGAATTTGCACTATAACCCATTTCAAACAAGAACTGTTCAATTCATTTTTGCACCCTACAAATTTCATTTCCATTGAAAGAAAATGGCATCAACACGGGTCTATTCCACTATATGAGGGTGCTTCAAAAAGTTTGTGGAAAATATCCAGGATCTTTTCATTCCATTTTTCCATGAACTTATTGAAGTCCCCTTGTAAGTAGCCATAAAATAAGTGTGTTTCTAAGGTTATTCCTAAAATTGTACCAAGGCAGCAACCTCCATTCCAAGAGAGGTAGCGTGTTGCCTCATCCCAGCACTCACAACACCCCTCATCACACCTCAGTCTACCTGGCCTTTTGTGACCTGTTGTAGCTCTTTTGTGCAATCACCTGTATATTTAAAGTGTGAGAAAAATGACAATGGGGGAAAAAAGTGGGCACTATGGTTCAGGGCCTCATAGCCAACTCCTTTATGTCACATCCATGGCAATACCCTGCTTCTTGCGGATGCTTCTTCCTTGCAACCTACTGTCTGTGCTCTCTTCTATAAGCTTTTGGGTGAATCAACCGAGACAGACAGGGGTCAGAAAAGCAGATGGAATTCTTCCTACACAGGATGAAGTAGTATAAGGATGCCTAGGTAGGAGGATATAGGTGATTCCTCAAGGCTGGGAAATTCCTTGACAGCCCAGAACAACCAAGTGTCTATCATATTTTAAATCCAGCATGGAATGAAAAAATGTTCCACACTGTAATTCTTCTAATACTTTCCTGTTTATTAGTTCCTGAGGCGCTCAGGAACCACAAATATTTTGACCTAAAAATTAGAAGGCTTGGACTTAATTTGCTAAATGAATGTAGAGTACTTTAAAGTGACAGACCAGAAGAGAGCTTTTTTTTTAAAGAAATACATTTCAGTTTCTGACCACTGTAGTGGAGCATAAGTCAGACTGATGCTCTTGTGGCTTGTGCATGAAAAAAATCATTGTAAAAACAGAACACACACAAAAAAACAATAACTGGGATACATATCCCCTGCACATAAATTACTAACAATAATTACCACAGAGTAGAGAAGGCAAATTTAATACTGAGGAAGGCAAATTTAATACTGAAGCCTATGTGAGGTTTTTTTTTCTTCTTCTTTCTTTAAAGGAAGTAGTAGATGCAGGAGTTCTGCCCTTTATAGTCATCCTGAGACTGGAAATGGCAATTTCAGTGACAAAAACAAAAGCTACAAAACAAACAAACAAACAAACAAACAAACAAAAAAACGTAGAAAAATCACAACGAGCACTGAATTTAACTGTAAAATAAATAGTTTAACTAATGGTTCATAAATTACAACCCAGTTGAATTCAGTGATGGTGAAGTTTAAGAGAACACACTATAAAGAAAACTCCAGATGAAATGACGAAGTTAAAGATAAATTTGGCCTAGCACCCCTAGAGTTGCTGACATCTAAAAATAAGATACATCTCTTTATACTAGCAAACCCGAACCATCCATCCCCACCCAATGGAGAGTCCTGGGGCTTCTGCTGCTTACTGCGAAGAAGAGCTCCGCACAACCTTGCTAGAAAAAACGACTGCGCCAGCCCAGTCACAATTAGGTAGTCAGAGAGATGGAGCAGCCGGCCTTCCTCCCTCTCCCCCTCCTTGGGGCTAATAGGAAAAGAGATGAGAATGATGAAATATTTGGGTTCAGGAAAACTTCCTGTTCAACCCTTTTGCTCTCTTCCCACCAAGGATGGAATGGCAAAGACGGACACGATCAAAATCAAACGGAGGCTGATTTTTTCCAATAGAGGAAAATGGATTCAATAAAAGTGCCAGGAAATCTCACTTTCCACTTCTCTCCTCCTCACACCCATGAGGAGTCACCTCTGTCTGGGTCACAGGACCAGCCAAGCAGTCTGTGAGGCACTGGGAGCTTCGCTCTCTGCAAGGCGCAAGCCCCAGCCAACCAAAGGCGGTATTAATCATGGGAAGGCAAGGCGGCCTGCGAGCAAGAGGGCAGGCTAGGGACCCGTCCTCGATTCGAGAGCAGAGACACGCAGGCAAGAGGCAGCGAGGCAGGGAGTGCGAGCTGAGAGTCCTAAGATAAATTGCACCAGGCAGATGCTGGCTGGGTGGAGAGGGTTCAGGACAGAGCCACAGTCAGAGCGCGGACGGCCGCGGGGCCGGGGCAGTGACTCAGTGAAAGCGGCAATGGGCGGGCCCGGGGGAAATCACCCAGGTGAAGGTGATGGGCGACAGGCGCCTGGGCAAGCCAGCGGTGCGGCCGCGGGGAGCTCACCGTGTCCTTGGATGAGCCCAGCTTCTTGAGGCCGTCCAGGGGCAGCAAGTCGGCGGAATCCTTGTGAATGAACTGCACGGCCTGTTTCATCCGCCTCTGCTGCCGCAAAGACGCCGCTTCCCGCATGTCGGTTTCCTTGCGGCCGCCCTCGGTGAGGAGCCCTGAGTAAAACATCGCTGAGGCGCCAGCGGCCCAGCGTCCAGTCGGCTCCTGGCTCACCAGCCGCGCTCAGCCTCGAGCTCCACCAGCGCAGCGAGAGCTGCGCGCCGCGCCTTTTATAGCCGAGCGTGACGTCATGGAGCAGTCGGTGCGCGCGCGGAAGGCGGGGCCGAGCCTTGTCCCGGCCCGAAGCGCAGCTCCCCAGCGCCCCACCCCGTTCTGATGCCCACCTCTGCTGGGTCGTCCCGCCCCAGGGAAGAGCGAGCAAGAACTGGATGGCGCTGGCGGGGCTAACCACTGCGGCCTCCGCAGCCAGTCGCCCACTAGCATTGCAGGTGCCCACATCCTCTGGATGTGGATGGGGTGTGGGACCTAACAGCGGAGCAGCCTCTCCTTCCCCAGCCACCGCCCCCCGGGGTACCCGCTCACCTGTCCACGCCGTGGCAGATCCAGGGATCACCGACAGCTGGGCCATGCCCCGAGTCCGGACGCCCGCACCGCTGCTCAGCTTTGCAGATTCCCGCGATGTGGCGCCCCAACCTATGCGCCCCCTCCCGGAGCCCCTGCACCCGCTGCTGGTACTCAGGAGGGCTGGCGACACAGACAGAAGTTGTGAGAGTTCAGGATTTCTCCAACTTCAGGTCCGTCCCCACCCACTGGGACACGTGACTGGGGAGGGGGCAGCCCCGGCGGACAGACTGGAGCTGGCCCTCATTGGACTCTTCTTTATCTACACCCTCTGTCCGGCACCAGAGCTTGCAAGCGAGTAAAGCATGACCTGGCGGGGTCTGGGGAGTGGACAGGGTCCCCGCGGCCCAAGGAGTGCACAAGAATGGGAGCCCTACACCTGCTCTTCAGTACACCTACAGAAAAGCACCTGCCTTTCTCAGCTAACTCTAGAACTTAGTATCGCGTGGGTCCTCCAGAGGGTCCTCCATGTCTTTTGAACATCCTTCCTGGAGCAGCTGGATCCCATTTTGGGTGCATCCGTATTTTCACGCCATAGTAATGGGATTAGATCCCCCAATGCAATTCTCACAGGACAACCCTACTACTCTGGAAGAAGAGCAGGTGTGTTGCTGTAATGGAAAACTCCTTAGTCTAACTTTCCTAGCTTTTTTTTTTTTTCTTCTTCTTCACCAATGCAGTTTTCCATATTCTTCAAACTTTTTCCTAATAAGCCCCTGTGATTGTCCTGTGTCATTTAAGAATATCTATCAAGATTACTCCTTCCCCAGAAAAATACTCCTTACCCTATAAAATTACCCAGAAAAACAGTTGCCATAACTTCCCAAGCTGACCTCTCTCTTGAACGTAACTGCCCAGCAGATCCCCTCAGAAGTCACCATTTTGAATGGACCTTTTTCTTGAAGGCATCCTTATGAGAGTAAGATAGTTGTGTTATAAAGAGAACTTGTCTGCAGCTATTACTGATCACAGAGACTTGTTTTAAACATGTTTTGTTTTGAATAAGCTTTTGCATTTATGAACTGAAACCTGGTTAGCAATACTTACCCTATATCTCTCTTCTAGGTATTTCAGGGTGTTTTTTGTTTGTTTTTTTTTCATAAACTTTGAATATCAGTTTTATTATGTTATCAGGTCACATACAGAGTAAGATGTACAGAACTTGTCAAAATGTCAACTTACCTGAGCAAGTAGGTAGGTTAAAATATGTACACAAACAGAAATATTTGTGCATATAAGTGAGACAACGAAGATAGGAATTTTTAAAAAGGGAGGGTGAAACACACATGCTAGCTCTAGTAAGTTTGGAGGACAAGTATAGATTTTAACACCTTGAGAAGTCCAGTAGATGGATATCTAATAAATTCTCTTTTTTTTTAATGTTTTATTGTGAATTATATGATAGTTTACATGGGAGAACTTTAGTTTTACATTCATTCCATCGTATATCATCTCACTGCCATGGTTCCAATCCCCTCCATGCATCCTCAACCACCCAAAGGGTATATCCCAGAAACCCGCTCCCTACACTTCCCCCTCTTCCCCCCAGTTTTTGGCCCACAGTCCCTTTCCCTCTCTGTGTCCAAAGTCCCCAGTGGCTTCATCACTCCTTGTCATCATCTCTGCCTCCATCTCAGGCATCTCTGTTTCTCTGGGTAGGGAGGGTCCCGCTCTCGGCTCTTCTCTGTTGATGGTCCCAGAGGCCTCCGCTCCTATCCTGGAGAATCAATCACTCCCTTCCTTGTTACAAAACTTGTACCTTTGCATTTTCCAACCCTCATAATCCGTCCTGATAAGCATTATTCACTACAGTATCACGAGTTACCCATCTGTATCTCCTTTCATCAGCTCGGCCCAGACAGATTGAATAGTACCTTCTGGAGATTCTGCCTTCTGCCATGCTCCCTAGCACCAGGTTCCCTCTTGAAAGCTTGTAAGCCAGTCACTTCTTGCCTCTGTAGTCCCCCTCTCCCCATTTGAGTATCCAATGTCCAAGCTGCCCTTCTCTGTCAGGGTGTTCTGTTTTTTAATATTTGGTTGTTTGCTTAGCATTTGCCTCCTCCCCTAAACTCCAAGAAGGGGACTAAGTAAATGTTTTGCTTACCGTTGAGTCCTTGTTGTTGTTCATTGAGTCGGTTCCGACTCATAGTGACCCTGTATAGGGTTTCTGAGGAGTGGCTGGTGAACCTGAACCACCGACCTTGCAGTTTAAACTGACCTCGTGGTCCAGCGCATTAACCCACAGCCACACCAGGACGCCAATAAGTATTTGTATAAGTATGATGAGAAGTTAAGGTCTTGTCCAAGCCTAAATTGTCTGCTGCCAGAACTAGCCCAGACCTGGAAGGGCTGGGTTTGACCTCATAAACCTCTGTTTCCCTCCGTTGCTGTCTTCAGCGCTTGCCCCAGATTTAGAGGACATACATAACGCTGTTTGTGGGAAAACAAACTGGAGGCTTCTCACCTGGCTTTGAGGAAGCCCCAGTGCTGGATACCTCTTCCCCTCTCTCTGCTCTTCCCCCCACCATACACATCCTGGACAGACTCTACTGGTTAGAGGTTACAGAATGGGGCCAGATGGCAGTTTACCTCTCAGGCCCTAGGCATTCTTTCTACAACCGTGGCTGCCCTGGTCCCTTCTATCCCGGATCCCTGCCTGGTCACTCCTCCTGGCAGGTGTAGCCCAGGGAGCAGTGAAAGACAGCTTTGCCTTGTCTCTCTAGGACAGGGACCTCTGAGCTCAGCAAAGCATCAGGACAGAGCCTCTGGGGCTTGGCTGGGGCAGTTTCTCTCCTCAGGGGGATGCCAAGCAGGTAGAAGCTTTGGGGGAGGAGTCAGTCTCCCCTCCCAGACACTCAGGCAGCTTAGCTCAGTCATGTAGCCTTCTTTTTTTTTCTGAGAATGATCTTGCCACAAGAAAAGGAGCTCCTTTCAGAGCTGCATCCCCCAGGGATCACCAGGAAGCTGAATCTCTCTAGTTGAACTGTAATTCAGCCATATCAAGTGTTGCTGAAAAATAAGTGTAGCCTTGGCTGGAGCAGAGAATCTTTTTGTGAATGCAGAGCTCTTTGCTGTAGTGGGACTTTTGTTCTGCAATTGGATCTGTGAACATAACACCAGTTGGGCCTCTTACCTAACAGACCTTCCTTGTGGCTAGATTGGTACCATCATTGCCCTCAAGTATGGATCAATGTGGTGAGGCTAGCCCCAATGCTGCACACACACCGTGTGTTTCTGCAGACTACAGACTGGCCTGCTCAATTTGAGGAGGGTCACTTCGGGGCAGTTTATCAGTTTTCCTAAATGACTTTGAGTGAGTCACTTCTACCTCTGAGTCTCAGCTTCTAAAGCTATAAAATGGATGTTGGAAGGATTAAATGAGATTGCATTTGTGAAACTGGGCTTTGTAAATTCTTGAGGGCTGTACCCAGAGAAGAGATCATTATTAATTCTTCACATAGCCAGTCTCCCCTGATCCAATTACGCATCTTGGAGGGAGTACAATAGAGTTGTTAAAAGTGCCAGACTTGACTAATGTCACTGAACAATTGGTGTAGCAATTGTTAAATGGGAACCTATTTTCTGGAATCCTGGTGTGCCAGCCACTCCTTGGAAACCCTATACAGGGTTGCTATGAGTCAGAATCAACTCGAAGGCACTTAACAACAACAATTTACTGTATAAACTTTCGCTGGAAACACACTAAAATATATATTTTTTTAAAGCACAGGACTTGGTATTCGACACAAACACACACAGCAGTTGTTGTCTAGTCATTTCTGACTTATGATGAACCCGAGTGTGTCAGAATAGAATTGTGCTCTGTAAAGTTTCCAATGGTCGATTTTTCAGAAAGAGGTTGCCAGGTCTTTCTACCAAGGTACCTTCAATGTTTTGACTCATTAACTATTGACACCACCCATGGACTCCAGAGTTTAACACACTAGGTTCATTTCTTAGCTCTATGACTAGTTAGTTACTTCAGTTCTTTTTCTGTGAGCTTTAGTTCTTTTTCTAAAAGGTGGTACTGATAACATATTTACCTCTCAGGCTGCTATGAGGATTAAATGAAATGATATGTACAACACATTATCTGGTACATAGGAAGGGTGCCACAGAAGGCAACTACTATTATTAGGTGGAACAGCCAACCTTTTAGTTGCTGTGTTTTCAGAGTGAGCCCAGACCGATGCTTCCTCCAAGCCTTCCTACTGAGCTGCAAACCCAAACTCACTGCCTTTCAGTCTATTCTGACTCATTGTGACCCCAAAGGACAGAGTAGAACTGCGCCATCAAGTTTCCCAGACTGTAAATCTGTATGGGAGCAGATATTGTTGTTCCTGTAGTTGTTGTGAGGTGCCGTCTAATCAATACCTACTGATATGAAACTTATGTACAGCAAATGAGCAGATAGCCTCATCTTTCTCCCACTGACCGACTGGTGGGCTTGAACTACCACCCTTATAGTTAACAGCCCAGTGCTTAACCCACTGTGCAACCAGGGCTCCTTACTGAGCTCCAGATTAGGTGAACCAGATGTGAGCATCTTGCCTCCACCCTGGAGCTGAGGGTGAGGCCTCCAGTGTCAGGGTTAGTCAAGTCTCCTCCCCTCCCTATTGTTGTTGTTGTTGTTGTTGTTGTTGTTAGGGTTTCCCAGGAGCAGCTGGTAAATTTGAACTGCTGACCTTGTGGTTCAAATCAACCTTGAGGTCGAACACCAGAATTTCAATTTTACCATATCAAATGGCCCTTACCATCCCCTGACTCTGCCAAGATGACTCTTCAAACAACTGTCCACTGCAGATGACAGATGTGTGCCAGGATCTCTGGTTACCCAGTGCCCAGGGCTTGGCACACAGCTCTAGAGACTGCATCTTCCTTGATAGACCAAACAAAGACAAGAGACATTTCTTTCCTCTTTCTTTGGTGATTCCCAATATCATTGTGGCCTCAAAAAATAGGGTTGGTGGTTCCCCCACTGGTGTTTTCCAAAGTTGGTCTTTTGGG